GAATAAAAGAAAGAGTTTATGTAAGTAGATGTGGGCAATTTAGGTTTTAACCTCCAAGAGGCTCTCAGACAAATATAATGGAAAACCTTATTTATTTATGGTCTGAATTGGCATATGTTTTGACATATTAGTCAGTGATAAATATCTCATCTATACATACGAATACATATGCATATTTTTTATAAATGAAAATCGAGGTCCCTTTTTCGTTCTATTTTCAAAAGCTACTCCATGATCGAATTGCTTCGAAATTTCTTTTAGAGATTACGGCATTCGGTAGCGAGCTCCCTTTTGCAATTTAATTGTATTGGAAGGAAAGCACCTGTAATCTTATTTCCTTCGATTCGAAACGAGTTTCCCCCGATCACGGATGCCGTGATTCGGGCTCAGTTTTATGTATAGGTTTTGACATTAAGAACCGCCGCACAGTGGTCAATAAATGGGATTTAATGTTCATAATTCACTGGAGCCTTCATTTCTCAACCAATTTGATATTTTTTTTTTTTTTTAATGAAAGCTAATAAAATTTGCAAGAGACTAGTTGAGCCCAATTTTCGAATTTTAATTTTTTTGTATTAAATTTTGTAGTACAAAGTGCAGAGAATGCGCCAATTTTGAAGAAGACCGATTCTTCTGTTCCAGCTAATAAAAGTTTCATAATAAAAACTAGTTAAAAACAATTATAGGGTTCTCTTAAAACAAAAAAAAAAATAAAAAATTTTGACTAAAAGTATTTTTTTTTTTGTTTTTAGTTTTTATAAAAATTTTGGGTATGCAGTTTTATAGATTACTAAATTTTAGTACAATAAAGTGCAAGTTGTAGGTCGTTAAGAGTTCGCGTTGATTTTTCCCGCGAGTAGTCCAAAAACAATAAAGTCGGAATTTTAATGCCGCCACCCCCTAGGATTGTTCTGAACCGAAAATAAATATACCCCATTTTTTTATTTTGAAATCAAAAAATATTTAGGGAGTGCTCACAGCGCTCAAAGTTTTCCATGTATTTTATATGGGGGAAAAACAAATTTTCGTAAAAATGGTATAAAACTCTTGAAAATAAATATTTTTCAATCGTACAACTGTGGTTCTCTTCAGGAGACTTCAAATATTAATATCCAATTGTTTATTTAACCATTTTTTATGATTAAAGATTTTTTATTGGTCCCCCCATTGCATTTTCTAGGACCTATAAAATATAGTTACCACGAAAAAATGGTTAAAGGAAAAATTGGGTATTATTACCGAGAATCTCCTGAAGATAAGCAAAGTTTTCCGATCGGAAAATATTGATTTGCAAGAATTCTACACTATTTCTACGAAAAGTTGTTTTTTCCCCATATAAAATACATTCAAAACTTTGAGCGCTTTGAGCACTCCCTAAATTTTTTCTTATTTCAAAATAAAAAAATATGGGTATATTTTTTTTGGTGTAGAACAATCCTAGGGCTGGCGGCATTAAAAATGCGACCTTATTTTTTTACGTACATTTTTGGGCCACTTTAGTGTTCATACATTCATTAGAGTGGTCCAAAAAAAAATGTTCCAAGATAGAGTTTGGGGCACCTTCCAAAATTTTTCCTTTTGCCGAAAGAGGTGCTGGTACCAAACCATGATTCAATAATACAAGGTTCGATAAACTGACAGTTGTCTCTCTCGCACCGCTCCCTTAGCAGTGGCACAGTGTTGCTTCTTTGCAAATTTACTTGGAAAAAGTGTAGCTTTGCTGTGAAATAGAAGTATAAGCTTTTGTGCAATATGTTTATTTGTATATGCATATGAAGCACATTTAACTAATAAAAACATAAATTGTTTTCAAATTGGATGTTTACATAAATCTCATAGTAGTTTTATTTTAATTTTGAGTCCTTTTGCATTTTTTTATACAACTAAGTAGCACATAAATTACGTAATTCACGTAGATGTATTAGTATTTCGATCAATATTTCGTTTACACTGCCAGGTTTCCTGCAAATACATTAGAATTTACAAAAGAAATTTCAATACTAATTGCCTACTTTGCGACTTTTCTACTACCATTTTCGCAACAAGGGATTGCATTCTTTTCCGTTCTCTGTCCTTCGTAAATGCAAACTTTTGTAAGGGAGTGTCAAACCGCGGCTGTCAATAATTATCTAACCTTGTATTATTAAATCATGGTACCAAACCTTACGTTTCTAAGTGTACACTTAGAGGATGCTCATACGCGACACTTACGCTCTTTTAGCACCTGCTAAGTCTCTGCCCATACCTGCTCTTGATGCTCATATTTTACTCGAAAAGTATTGTGTACATATATTAATCAAATAATTGGTTAAAGGTGCTCGTAAACGATGAGAGTACATAAATACCTTGAGAGTTGCGCCATATTGGTCTGGGAATTCTCATGTCTCAAAAATAAGTCACTAATTTGTCAGCTGGCTAAGAGCCGGTCACAAAAATAGAAGTATGGAGGAAAAGCTCATTTCTTTCCACTTTATTAAAAAAAAACGCGAAAATGAAGCGAGGAAATTTGTTCAAACCAAAATGCTTTAATATCATACAAATGTATTGAAAAAAATATTTTTTTTTTGTTTTTAAAACACTAAAATCTAAAGATTGTTAAAAAAATAAAACTAATAAAAAAAATAAAAAAAAAACTAAATAAAAAAAAAAATAAAAAAATACTACATAAAAAAAAATAAAAAATCCTCTACGGCCGAGGAGGACTTGAACTCGACCCTCTCGGCTGCCAGCCTAATGCTTTGACCACTCGGCCATTGCGATTCTTCGAGCGGCGCGCGCAAAAGGCATACATAAACACTATCAGTTGATTGTCTGTGTTTGCTTTCACCACACATTTTTGGTGAACTTTTTGTGACTCTCTCCTTCTGAATACCCAAATCGTCTCAAGTCACAAAAATAGTCACTAATTGCTAATCTGAAATTTAGTGACTTGAGATGTGACTGAATTACTGAATCCCAGGGTAAGATATTAATAATGTATGAACTTATGCAAGAATTACAGAATACAAGATTGCAGTGACAAAACAAAACAAAAGAAGAAAAAGGCGAAAACAAGTGGAAATAGAATAGCTGATTTTGTCGAATTCTCCAAGAATAAAGTAACTCCCAACGTATTCAGTTTTGTTCTTACTTTTTTAACTTCCAATATAATAATTCGCCCAAGACAAAATGCAAATGTTCCCAACAATAGCAAAATGATGAATGGTCAATGCACAGCAAGGTTTACACATGTACATATATATAAGGTGGCGCATTTGAAAGGTCCGCTATTACAAGATGTAGAAAATAAAGGTGGCGCTATTTGCGTACCGCTAACCCTGGCTCGCGTCAATATGTGAGCTGTTATACATTCTGTATTTAAGCCAGTTTTTATATTTATTTGTGAGTAGTTTTTGGTTTTCTACATATTTTATGAATATGCACAGTGTCATAACTTACCTGTATGTAAATAATACATTCCGTTCTGTTTAAGGGGGCAGATACGCCAGCGGCACATCTGCCACATGGGGCACATTTGCCGGCGAAACAACCCCACTTGGAGTCTGGTGGATCTGCTTCACGTGTAACCTCTTTTATTAAACCCACTTTTTTTAAGAGCCGTAAAAATGCAATAGAAAAAGCTATCGATTTCATTTAAAGCAACGTTGGCGGTATTCCACATATAAAAAAAACTATTTTAGAACACGACAATTAACAAAATTATTACGAAGTACATATATTTAGCCCGCAAACTTTTCCTAGTAATTCAAAAAAAGTGGATAATAGCGACTGTCTACAACCGCTTGCAAAGATGAACTGTCAAAGTAAATAAGAAGGGATGTGGTCGACTGAGGCACAAGTTATCGATTTTCAAAGATCGGTAGCACTAGTAACTTTGACGAAAAGGATGGGTGGCGACCCCTTGGGTTCCGTGGAACCTACTTTAGGAAGCTCTGCACTAGAGACAACCAAAATTCAAAAGGTTATGAAAAACGATGTCGATGCCAGTATTTTATGAATTCCACCCAACGATTCACATGACGGATATTACCTGGATTACTTATTCTCCATATGCAGCTATAAACACGCCTAGTGCTTGCATATACATATATATATATATATGCATATACACGTCAAAAAAAATAAAAATAAAATCCAGCAATGCGACCGGAATAAGACTCAAATTTAAGCATTTGATATAGTAATAATCCTCCATGAATCTCACCCCTCTAGGACAATAGTAAGAGGTGCCGCCGCGAGCCTTTAAATTTCCCATAGGAATTACACATAAGAAAATGACTTCGTTCCTTTTGAGGTCAATATAATTTTCTAGGATCAATGAAAACGCTCGAAACTGTAAGAATACATTGATCGCATTGCAGGATTTTATTTTATTTATTTTTTGACGTGGTCTAATATACATATGAACGTATACAGTGATTGAAATTTATAATTTATTAATGAGGAATTTCGACCTTAAAATAGTGTAAGAATAAGACATCATTAATACTAGTTCTTTAGGAATTTCTTCACTCTTAGAGCCTTGCTGCTGGTTTAGAGTGGATAGGTTATAGCTGTGGTGGAAAATAATAAGCCGACACAGTTATGAAAGGTAAAGATTATGCCATAGTTCGGTATCAAATTGACTTCAGTGTCCTATGAGCAGTAGTAAATGGTATAACGGGCGGTAGGTAGGTATTTGACGGTGGAGGATTAATTCGTGAAATGCGTGTAGGCACATCACTTCTGCTGTAGGATAAAGATACCCACCGCATTTAGATGGGTTGACTGAATCTCTCGACAATTGGTGTATGGCGTGTATGTATAATTCGCATTTGATGGTGGAGTATTATTTTTTTGACGTCCTTATGGAAAATTAAGCGACTCTTCGGGTTTAGGCTATAAGTAACCAGTAAGCTTAGTTGTTTTGGTTGAATCTGTCAGTGATCATGTTTCTGTTGGCTCTAATTAAGGCGAATTTGTTACTTTTGACGTTCTTTCAGGAGTTG